ATCGTGCGCCCCCTGCGCCTCCCCGCACCGCCCGCTCCGCAAGCCCCGCCGCCGCCGCCGATGGCTGAGCCCGAGGCCGAGCAGGGGCAGGAGGGTGCGTCCCGCTCTCGCCCCTTTCACCTCGCCGCGCGTCGCAGGACGCCGTGTACTGATAGCTTTCTGCGCGCAGACGCAGATCTCGGCATTACGGCCGTCGCTGTGTACGACTATGCGGCCGAGGAGGATGGCGAGCTCTGTGCGTCCCTCGCCTTCCCTTCTCCTCTCTCTCTCTCCCCCTCGCGCTCGTGCCCCTCCCTCGACATACCTCTTCTCGTCGCGCCGTCGACCGCCAGACTGACCCCCCTCCCTCTCGCCCGCTCGCCCTCGCCTGCTCGCCCTCGCCTGCCCTCCCTCGCCCGCCCGCCCGCCCACAGCCTTCTCCGAGGGCCAGCTCATCACGCACATCAACAAGGTCGACGAGGGCTGGTGGATGGGCACCAACGCCGACACGGGGCTCGAGGGCCTGTTCCCGGAGAACTACGTGGAGGAGCGCCAGTGAGGGCGCAGGCGGGGAGGTCGAGGTTGAACTATGGACACGAGACTGGAATCTTAAGCTCTCCCTTTTTTGCTGTGCTCGGCGCTGGGCAGAGAGCGAGAGAGGGAGGGAGCGCGAGAGCCCTCTCGTTGAGCGAGCCGGCGGCGCGTCGGCCGGTCCGAATCCGAATCCCTCATCGCCCCTCTCCGTTCAACTCGCTCTTCGGTCTCGCCCCACGCCTCGCGAGCCGGCGCTCGAAGCTGCGCCGTGCTCCTCGCTGCAGTACCTCCAGCTCCGACCGCGATCGCGCCCCGCCGCGGCGCCCTCGACTCGCCCGCACCTCGTCCCCCGCCCTCGGTTCGCCCGCCTCGTTCTCGCCCCTGCAGCACCGCGCCGACGCCCAGCCCGGCCCAGCTCTGCCCGGCCCAGCACAGCGTGCCCTCCCGGTCCGACCCTGTCCACCGTCGCCCTCGCCCTCGCCCTCGCCCTCGCCCTCCCCGTTCAACCATGCGGACCTCCCTCCTGTCGCTCCCCGACGAGCTCCTCGACCTCGTCGTCGACCAAGCGCTCGGCGAGTACGCGCCGAGGCTGTACAAGGAGCGTCAAGATACCTGTCGGGCCCTGTCGCTCGTCAACAAGCGCGTCGGCGCCATCGCCCAGCCCAAGCTCGTCGAGGTCGTGCACGCCGTTGTGTACACGCCGCTCGGCTTCCGGGCCCAGCTCAAGCCTGAGCAGGTCCCTCGGCGCAACTGCGTGCGGACGCTGTGGCTCGACGGCGTCGGCCTGAACGGTTCAGTCAATGGCTTCCTGTCGTTCGCCGCCGTTCGCGACCTGCGGCTCACGGTCTTTCGGGAAGTCCGCCTCGAGGACTTCGGCCTACTACCAGGTGCGCACATATCTCGCCTACTCGCAGGAGGGCGCGAGCGTCACACTGACACAGGTGATCGTCCGCAGAAATCCGCACGCTCGTCCTCGCGCAGGGCCACTTCTCGAGCAACAAGCCCTTGGTCGCGCCCAAGCTCGAGCGGCTCGTCCTGTACCAATGCAGCCATTCGAGACCCCCGCGCCAGAACGAGGGCTTCACTGCCGCAGGCTGCCCCTCGCTCCGGCACCTGTACCTCGACGTGTCGCACGACGGGCGACCCTGGCCATGCTCGCAAGACCTACTCGACCAGGTCGACACCCTCGGCTCGCCCCTCACGGATGCACTTCGTGTGAGGAGGTCGAGCCACAGCGCCCTCATCGTCTCGGGCAGCGTGGCGCTCGACAAGGTGCTCTTCGATCTCGACTTCATGGACGGCGTCCCGGACCAGCCCGCATCCCGAGTCCGGCATCTTCGCGTGCATGCCGACTCGGACACATGGCCGTCGGACTGGGCCAGGCTCGCCGACAACCTCGTCCACCGTTTCCCCTCGCTCAAGGCCCTGTACCTCCCCCTCGCCGTCGACGCCTCGCGCGTCATGCTCGGCCGCCCCGTCCTCGAGGCCGTGCGCAAGCTCGTCGCCAACTGCGAGCGTGCTCGCGTCGTCGTCGTCTACGAGCATGCGCTCAGCGCAGACGGGCCGGCCGAGGACCGCGCGGCGCCGCACTTCGAGGCGCGCTCCCGGCGCGTCAAGGCCGAGCGAGCGGCGGCGGCGGCGCGACGACGACGAGCGCGACGTCGAGCGGCGCGAGGGCTGTGCGCTGACGGCGGCATCGTGCGGCAGGACGACGCGAGGGCGGGGCGGGCGTCGTGACGGAGCGGGTCGAGCGCTCGAGACGGGTCGGTGCCGCTCCGGCGGGTGCAACGAGGTCGTCTTCGTCTTCTTCGACGTTCAGCAAGTGTCGAGAGTGAGTGCGAGAGCCGTCGGCGAAGATGCTCGCTCGCTGTGACTTGCTCGAGCGGACGAGGAACCGAGCGCTCCTCGACGAGGGCCCTCTTCTGTCTTCCTCGCTGCGCCTTGTCTCTGTGCGCGCTCCACGGCAATGCTGCAGCTGCGTCGCTTGAACAAAGTGAGCCCGCCCGGACGAGAAAATGCAAGACGCGGTCGCGCACGCTCCTCGCGCTCGCACTTCTCCCCCGCGCTCTCGCTCTCCTCCCTCCCTCTCTCGCTCTCTCCAGCACGCCCAATCGCACCAGCTAGCCACCAGCTGTGCCAGAGCACCTGTCGCCACCCTCTCGAGCACCCTCAGCCGCATCTGGACCGCGCACTCGCCCTCCCCTCCTCGACTCGACCATGCCGCCCTCGCTCCTGTCGCTCCCCGACGAGCTCCTCGACCTCGTCGTCGACCAAGCGCTCGGCGAGTACGCGCCGAGGCTGTACAAGGCGCGGCAAGATACCTGTCGAGCCCTGTCGCTCGTCAACAAGCGCGTCGGCGCCATCGCGAGCGCGAAGCTCGTCGAGGTCGTGCACACCTTTGCGTTCTCGCGATTCGGCGTCCCGGTCCGGTTCAAGCCTGAGGAGGCCCCTCGGCGCAAACGCGTGAGGACGCTGTGGCTACATGGCGGCGGCAGGCCAGGTCCGACAGACGGCTTCCTGTCGTACGCCGCCATTCGCGACCTGCGGCTCATCGACTTTCAAGACGTCCGCCTCGAGAATCTCGGCCTACTACCAGGTGCGTCCACATCTCGCATACTCGCCGGAGGGCACGAGCGTCCCACTGACACAGGTGCTCGTCTGCAGAGCTCCGCACGCTTGTCCTCGCGCAGGGCCACTTCTCGAGCAAGAAGCCCTTGGTCGCGCCCAAGCTCGAGCGGCTCGTCCTGTACCACTTCAGCCATTCGAGACGCCCGCACCAGAACGAGGGCTTTACCGCCGCAGGCTGCCCCTCGCTCCGGCCCCTGTACCTCGACGTGTCGCACGACGGGCGACCCTGGTCATGCTCGCAAGACCTACTCGACCAGGTCGACACCCTCGGCTCGTACCACCTAGATGAGCTTCGCGTGAGGTCGAGCTACAGCGCCCTCGACGTCTCAGACACCGCGGCGCTCGACAAGGTGCTGTTCGACGTCTGCTGCGCCGGGTCCGTCAATGGCGTCCCCGGCGAGCCCACACCCCGAGTCCGACACCTTTGCGTGCATGCCGACTCGTCCACACCGCCGTCAGACTGGGCCAGGCTCGCCGACGGCGTCCTCGGCAGTTTCCCCTCGCTCGAGACCCTGTACCTCCCCCTCGCCGTCGACGTCTCCCGCGTCTTGCTCGAACGCAGTCTCCTCGACGCCATGCGCAAGCTCGTCGCCGACTGCGAGCGTGCTCGGGTCGTAGTCGTGTACGAGCACGCGCTCGGCGCACTCCGGCCGGGCGAGGACCGCGCGGCGCCGCACTTTGAGGCGCGCTGCCGGCGCATCAAGGCCGAGCGCTCGGCGGCGGCGGCGCAGTCGACGACGACGGGTGCGGCGGCGCGGCGCTGAGCGAGGCTGCGCGGGCGGGCGGGCGAGCGAGCGAGCGGGACGAGGGAGCGGAGCGAGGAGGGCAGGAGGACGAGCGTGGAGCTTGCGACGCGAGGGTGTACTCTTCCTTGCACTGCAGAGCGTGTACTCGAGTGCCTTGGGTGTGCGCGTGTCGAGAGCGGTGCAGCTCAGCTCGAGAGCTGCCTCGAGCGAGCTGCGCCGACTTGGGCGAGCGAGAGGAGACGCAGTGCGAGTCAAGCAGTGCAGCGAGGGGCGCGAGCCGGGTGCGGCAGCTCGAGTTGGGTACACGAGTACAGCGTCGGCGCGGAAGCCCTGTGTCGGCGGATCGGAGAGAGAGAGTCGCTAGGAGGAGGAGGAGGAGGAGGAGGAGGAGGAGGAGGAGCAGCTCGCCCTCCTCCCCACCTCACCCCGCTCGACAGCCAGCCAGTCAAGATGAAGTTGGTCAGGTGCGCCCCAGCTCCCTTCCCCTGTCCCCTCCCGACGCGGCAACAGCGAGCCGCAATCCGCCCCGCCTCGTCGTCCGCCCCGGTCCCATCTCACGGCGATGAAGGCGACCACCGACCGAAACGAGCCGCGCCGCGCTTCAGCCTGCTCGATGGAGCTCCAGGAGGGCAGCGGTGGTGCAGCAGGGTGGTCAGAGCGGCGGGCCGAGCTGCGAGGGACGAGGCGGAGCGCTCGTTGGTGATGGCGAGTCGGGCGGACGAGGCGCGGCAGCGGACAGCGGGCGCAGCATGGCGGACCTCTCTACGAGCACACGAGCTAACCTTGCTCCCCTCTCGGCGCGCCCTCGTTGCCGCCTCGCAGGTTCTTGGTGCGTCGCCGCCGCCTCTCCTCCTTCTCTCGCCTTGCGCTCTCGCGCAGGTCACTGACGGTGCCGAGGCTCTGGCGATGACACACAGATGAAGCTCAACAACGAGACGGTGACGGTCGAGCTCAAGAACGGCACGACGGTGCACGGCACCATCACCGGTGCGTCCACCTCCCTCCCCCCCCTCCCTTCCTCCTCGCTCGACCCCAAGCTGACTCACGTCTGCCCACCACGAACGACACGACGACCAGGCGTCGACCCGTCGATGAACACGCACCTCAAGAAGGTCAAGATGACGGTCCGGGGCCGCGAGCCGCAAGCGCTCGACACGCTCGCGATCCGCGGCAACAACGTGCGGTACTTTATCCTCCCCGACTCGCTCCCGCTCGACACGCTCCTCATCGACGATGCGCCGAAACCCAAGAAGAAGCGCGGCGATGTGCGTCCCCCCGACCCTCTCTCTCTCGTGCTGGGTGAGCGCCCAAGACGGGCGCTCGCTCGGCTGGCCCGTCCAGATGTCGACTGACGCCTCGGCACCTCTGCGCACACAGGCGGCGCCTCGGGGAGCTGCGCGCGGTCGCGGTGGCGACAGGGGTCGCGGCGGGCGTGGGCGTGGACGCGGTCGGGGCCGCGGGCTGTAAAAGGAGGCGAGCGAGCGCGTGCGTCGACGAGGAGGAGCGCGCGAGAGAGGCGGGCGCTTTTTCTCTCTGCAACCTGGACCTGCATTCTGTGTACTCTTAAGCGAGTGCGGCACTGCTGTCGAGAGAGAGGGTGAACGGAGTCCGCGGAGCGAGGAGGAGAGCGAGAGCGGCGCCGGGTGGCCGCCACCTCGCGTCAGCTTGGTTCCCACTCGCCCACCGACTCGTGCACCGCTCAAGCTAGCGCACACGCGCTCTCTCTCTCGACTGAGCGCACCTGCACCCTCGAGACGCGCCACACCAACCCGCCGCGCGCTCCCTCGCCCTCGGTCTCTCGCTCCCCGCGCTCTCTCACCAACCCACCAGCACCGCCCACGATGAGTGACGCAGAGCTCGAGCTGTCGTCCGACTACGACGACTACCAGGACGACGACGCCGCCCTCGACTTTGACGACGACGACATGCACGGTGAGCTCTCCCCTCTCCTCCTCCACTCTCCCCCTCCCGGCCGCCTCACCGTCCCGCCTCCGACAAGACCCTGACCCACCGCACCCTCACCCGACACAGACCTCAGCTCAGAGGCCGGCTCCGTGTCCGACTCGGGCGGCTTCTCCCCCTTCGGCACCTCGACCCCCGCGTCCGCCTCGGCCCGCGGCGCGTCGGGCCTCGCCCTCGCCGCAGCGGGCGCATCCTCGGCCGGCGGTGGCGGTGGCGGGCGCAAGGGCAAAGGGCGCGCGAGCATGGGCGGCGCGGGAGACGACATCTACGGCCAGGTCGAGTACAAGGTGCTGAGCCTCGCCCAGCTCGAGGGGCAGCAGCGCGACGCGGTCAACTACGTCCAGGACATGCTTCAGCTCAAAGTGCGTCCCCTCCCGTCTCTCTCTCTCGACGGCCTCGCCGGGCTGCGTTCGTCGTTGGGGCGAGCGCGCCAGGTGTGCGGTTCTGTCTCGAGCGCTGGCTGACTCGCACTCGTTCGCGCGCAGCCCGAGTCGGCCGCCGTCCTCCTGCGCTACTTCAACTGGAAGAAGGACAAGCTCGTCGAGACGTACATGGAGGACGCCGAGGGCACGCTCGCCAAGGCGGGCATCCACGAGGGCGGCGCTCAGCCGCGGCTCAAGCGCGTGCGCGGCTTCGTGTGCGACGTGTGCTACGACGACGCGACCAAGGAGACGCTCGCCATGAGCTGCGACCACCGCTGTGCGTCGGCCACGTCCCCTCTCTCTCTCTCGGTCCCGACGCTGTCTCGGCGGCGTCGGGCTTGTTGGAGTTTCTGGAGCACGAGACTGACCGTCTCTCTTCCCTCGCGCCGACAGTCTGCAAGGACTGCTACTCGCACTACATCTCGAGCAAGGTGACGGACGAGGGCGAGAGTCGGCGCATCGAGTGCATGGCCGGCGACTGCAACGTCATCGTCGACGAGAAGACGGTCGAGCTCCTCGTCCCGCCCGACATCCTCGCGCGGTCCGTCCTGCCCTCCCTCTTACTTCCCTCTCGGGCCCCATTGACTGACTCGCGCTCCCCCTCCCTACTCGCGCAGCTACCGCACGCTCCTCAACCGCACCTACGTCGACGACAACCCGCGCATGCGGTGGTGCCCGGCGCCCAACTGCGAGTTTGCGCTCCAGTGCGCCGTCGCGCCGCGCTCGCTCGACACGATCATCCCGACGGTCCAGTGCGCGTGCGGGCGCGTGTTTTGCTTCGGGTGCCAGGTCCTCGACGACGGCGACCACCGCCCGTGCTGCTGCCCGATCGTGCGCCGGTGGGTCAAGAAGTGCAAGGACGACTCGGAGACGAGCAACTGGATCTCGGCAAACACAAAGGAGTGCAACAAGTGCCACTCGACGATCGAGAAGAACGGCGGGTGCAACGTGCGTCTCCCCCCCCCCCCTCTCTCTCTCTCTCTCTCTTCCTCGACGTCGTCGTCGTCGACCAAGACTGACTCGTCCTCGCTCGCCCGCAGCACATGACGTGCAAGAAGTGCAAGTGGGAGTTCTGCTGGGTGTGCATGGGGCCCTGGAGCGAGCACGGCACCCAGTGGTACAACTGCTCGCGGTACGAGGAAAAGGGCGACGTCAACAACAAGGACGCGCAGAGCAAGAGTCGCGCACAGCTCGAGCGCTACCTTCACGTGGGTCCACTTATCTCTCTCGCCCTCTCCCTCGCCCTCTCTCCCACGCCCTCTGCCCCTCGCACTCTCTCCCTCGCCCATCAGACTGTGCAGGACTGACACGAGCGAGTGACATGACGGCGCGCAGTACTACAACCGGTTCGCCAACCACGAGCAGTCGATCCGGCTCGAGGCCGACCTGTACGCGCGCACCGAGAAGAAGATGGACGAGCTCCAGGAGCACTCGACCCTGTCGTGGATCGAGGTCCAGTTCCTCGCAAAGGCCGTCGAGACGCTCGGCAAGGTGCGCACCGTCCTCAAGTGGACCTACGCCATGGCCTTCTACCTCGAGCGCAACAACCACACGATCATGTTCGAGGACAACCAGAAGTGCGTCCTCGTCTCTCTCTCTCTCTCTCTCTCTTTCAGGGTCTGGATCCTGACGACGTGCGCACCTACCCCCCACCCCCACCCGCAGCGACCTCGAGCAAGCGGTCGAGTCGCTGTCCGAGCTGCTCGAGCGCCCGCTCGAGGAGGACAAGATTGCCGCGCTGCGCCAGCAGACGACCGACAAGACGGTCTACGTCGCCAAGCGGTGCAAGGTCCTCCTCGACGACACGCTCCAGGGCTACGAGGACGAGCGCTGGGTGTGGCAGGAGCCCATCAAGCTCTGAGCCGGCTCGCGCGCGCGCCCGCCTCGAGCTCTCCCGTCTTTCTCGGTCCTTCCCTGCCTCGTTCGCCCCCCCTTTCGTTCGCCCCCCTCTCGCCGCATCCGCATCCCTCGCTTGACCCCCTCTCGTCGTCGTTCTGTTCCCGTCCCTCTCCCCCTGTCCGCCTACCCTCTCCCTCCCTTGGCTCGCCCAGTCTCTCTGTCCCTCCCTCCCTCCCTCCTTCCCCCTCTCGCTCTCCCCTTTCTGCCCCTAGCCGTGCCCTCCTCGTTGTACGACCCCTGCCCTTCTCTCTCGACCTTTGCTCAACACGTACCGGTGCCCTCTCGATGTTGCCCCTGGAGCGCGCGAGCGCGAGAGAGAGAGAGAGAGAGAGAGAGAGAGCAAGCGCGGGCGAGAGCGAGTCGGCGTCGTGCAGCTCTCGAACCTGTCGCGCGACGAGAGCTGTGCGGCGAGGACAGTGCGCGTTGCACCGAGAGGGAGGGAGAGCTCGCCTCGTCTAGAACGTCCACAGCCGGCTCACAATGTCGACCGGCTCGACCGCCTCCTTCTCGTCCTCTTCCTCCTCTCCCTCCTCGCCCTCGTCCTCCCGCTTACTCTCCCTCACGACCGTCGCCGCACCCTCTCCCGCCGCCGCCGCACCCGTTCCCGCCGGCACCTGCACCTGGGGGAAGAACGAGTCGCCGATGGGCTGGCGCTGCGGGACGGGCGCGAGCGCCGGGGCGCGGTTCGTGATCTTGCGCGCGAGCTCCGTCTCGATGAGCTGCGTGTGTCGGAGGAGGAGGACGAGCAGGGCGCGGTGTCAGGGTTCTGTTCTTCTGTCTGTCGGACTAGAAAAGAGAGGGAGAGAGGGAGAGAGGGAGAAAGAGGGGAGGGGTAGGACGCACCGTCGCGTACGAGTGGTCAAGAAAGTCCTCCATGGCGTAACTCTGCTTGTTCATGGCCTCGGTAAACACTTTGGCGAGACCCGACACGCTCGCGAGGTAGTGGCGCTGGAGCGCCGTGAGCTCCCACAACGAGCTGTCGAGCGCGCCCGACTCGGTCGGGTCCGGCTCGGTGTGGTTGTAGGGGTCTGTGGGTGGGCGCGAGAGGAGGATGAAGTGGAGCGAGAGTCAGTGAGGGTCGTGCTGAGGGAGGCAGGGCGGGAGGGAGGGAGGGAGGGAGGGGGGG